ATTAAGCACTTAGTATTTTGTTCAATGTTAGAGTGGAGAGCAAAAGTTACAAAATACTAGAAAAGAGGGGTACAAATTCCTGAATCACTTAAAGAGCCTAGTGGAGAGATAGTACAAAGTCACTTTAAATAATTGCCTAACAACAGAAACAGAATGCAACTAGATGTATAAATGTATTGATAGCACTATATGCTGGACTTCTTTCTGGTTCAGTTTCCTAGATAAAATCTTACATAATACTGTGTCCACTCTTAGACAAGTTTGAGTGTTTGAAAAATCTAGGATTTATTAGGACAGATACAACCAGTCAAAGTACAGTAGTTTCCTGGCTGGATTAATATAGTGGTAATGTTAGGAGAGACTGGAGGGATAGAATTTAGTTAGGAGGCTGCTGCAGTAATTTAATAAAAGTGATAAGGATTTCTATTGATAGTAGGAAGAGAAAAAGGAAGATGAATGTCTAGATAAGTCAGTCAATAGCCCATGTGTTTCTCGTTGCATGTTATATTCAACATTAAGATACCACATTTAAATGTCAGCAATGATTATGGCGACAATCCTAAATTCTAACAGACTTTTACAGTGATTGATTTAACTGCACTTTTAAAATGTCAAAAAAGGGAGAGATGAATAACAGAAGTTTGCAGGAAGAGTGGCCTCTGTCAGGAGCAGGGACATTCTCCATGAAGATCACCATTGAGGTCTGGCTACCTGAGTCTGCCCTGAGTAGCAGGTGGTGTGCCCGGGCAGAACAAGATCTAACCCACATAACAGGCATCACCAGACTCTGTCCCTTAATTTCAATCCAACAAATATTTATTGAGCACAACTATAATCCCGCACACTGCTAGACTTCTGTAAAGTAAACCATAGATACATATTTTTAAAGTTACTTTCCATCCTTAAACTATCTATACAGAGTTAACAAAATATCCATCTTGTTTTACATATGTAAAACAATTAGAAAAAATTAGAATATAAGTGCCAAAGGTATGGTGAAGACAAAATTGGCCTTCTTTTAATTTCTTAAACCTGTTCCACCCTTTCCCTCTGACTGGTACTCTGCCATGCCCCTCTCTGCCCCCATTCTTCTGCTTGGCTCCTTCTCAAACTTCAGGTCTGAGCTTAAATGTCACTTACTGAGAGGCCTTCCCTGCTTCCCTGTGTAAAGTTGCCCTTTTCTGTTTATCTTTCTTCATAGCAATTTTCATCGTCTTAAATTATCTGGCTTATTCAGTTATTGAGTCCTTTAATGTCTGACTTCCTCACTAGACCATAACTTCATGAAGTCAAGAATGACATTTTTTAAAACCACCAAATACTCAGCCTCTGGTGTAGTAAGTAGCAGAGTAGATATTCAATAAATATTTGTTTAATAATCACATGACTATTATTACTTTACCTAGTTGAACAGTTTGAACCAATATCATGTGGGTTAATTATCTTAAAGATTCACTTTCTAAAAATGTGATGAAGCAAGTAGTTTCTCAAAAACCTGCAAGAACAGACTGTCAGAATGGCATTCTGTTAAGTATAGTCAGCTGATCATTTATAGTTCAGCAAAGATTTCTGACGGCTCTAACTGTGCCCCTCCTTCCTATTACTCTGTATCTTGTAAAGTATAATTCCAGCCTTGATATATGAGAAAAAGTAAAATTGGAAAAATATAAAAAACTGTTTTAATGAGGTCCTATTTTAGGAGATTTTCTTATTTACTATAAAATAAAATAAGAAAGTCTTTGTCATATTAGGTATCTGTGGCAATAAATCACTTGACATATCTGCATGAACATATTGAGATAGAGCATTGGTAAATCATTCCTTTTCAAGTATTAAATGAACCTCTATACTTACCTATTACAACTCAATCATTGCTACTGTTCAAATATGTTAGGGTGGAATGTAGCATGAAAATGGAGGCATAAGAATGATTAGCATTCATGGATCCATAGATGTCTCATGTTACTAGCTTAATTTTCTTTAGGTTTTTCACAATTATGGTATATTGCACATCCTGAAATATAACATTTAATATGTAATATTGATGCTGAAGGGACACAAATAATGTATAATTATTATTCTAAAAGAGTTAATTCCAACTATTTCTTTCGAATTTTAGACTTATTGCTAATTAAGAATGTTTATAGTTAATCTTAGATAGATTGTAACCTTGAATGTAGCAAGCAAAATCAAGACAAACTATTAAATGCACCTCTTTAGGAAAATCTCATAAAAGATTTGTGAGGCTATTTGACACAGTTAAAAGTATAATTATTTCTAGACTATAGCAAGATAAATTCAGTTTGTTTGGATGTCAGTCTACCACTACATTTTGAATTGGGGGAGAATCTCATTTTGATATTTAATATAGCAACTGAACTTTGAAACTGCGTTCTGCATGGGCTGAGACATGTAGAAATTAATGTGAAAATAAGTAACTGGGTATAAATCTTGGAAAAAAGAAATCTAGTAGAAGCCACACCTGAAAACTCTTCAAATGGGAAAGTCCTGTAGCCTTCTGGTTTATACAGTTCAGGACTCCCTCTAGTGGTTCAGCCTTTTGGTGCTTTAATTGGTACTCTTCAGGTCACTGAATCACCAACTTTTGGGTTATATTTTTTAAAAAATTAAAAAAGAACCACACAACTCCTATTACAATGGTTTTCCACAAGGAGAAGACTATATTAGTGGATGGTATAATAAATGTGGATATTAAGATAGTCTTGCAATGGTCTGACCTAAAGGGACACAGTAGATTTCACTAACTGAAAAAGCCACTTCCAGTTCTGCTGTGTGTGAAGGAGCCAAAGGTCCTGGAACAGGATTCTTGGTTGCTCTACGGTGAGAACTGGGCCTTTTAGGGAAAGGCTGAAGTGACTATTTCATGGGTATATGTGCCCAACAAGGTCAGATAATTCTAGTTTGACCTTGTATAAAGTCAATCTTTCAGACCAACCCACAGCAACATGTAGTTTCTTCCACATCATATCCTTAATATCACAGCCTTTACATTTGTTTAAACCAAATGCAGAAAACTCTAAGTTTGATTTACATAACTTTATTTGCTTCCTTGTGTTAGTTTTGGTTATGCTTTTGCCTTATCTTATAAAATGTCTCCTACCTCTTCCATGTGACCATACGAAAAATATGAGGAGGACTTTTATGTTTACTCTATCAAACTTTCACTTCCTGGCCAGTTCTGCACTGTAGATATACATAAATATGCCAACTCTTTTATAAGACAGTCCTATACATATTTAAGACCATTGTCTGCATTGTCTTCTTTCCCTTTTTTAGAATGCTCAAAGCTTCTTGGAACCAGAGTAAAAAAAGAACTGTGAGAGACAGGCATCGTTACAGAGTAATTTGGTGGGCACTTTAGTCACACCTTCAGGGGTCTGTAAAAACATTGGCTTATTTCAGAAAATACAAAACTGTTCTCAAAAAGTCTGAGTTTGGAGGACAGAAGCCAGTCAGATTAAGATAAAAAAGAAAATAGGATGAAAGGGGTGGTTTAGCCATTTCAGGTTCTCTTCTTAGTATGCTGTTTTCTGATTCCTTTTAAGTTGTTCCAGCACTGGGGCTAGAAACCTACAACAGAGACCAGATAATTGACTGTGGAATCCAGAAATCAGTCACAGTGTTTGCCCTGAAGTTTGGGTAGAGTGAGGCCAGGAAGTTGCATTGGTTTTAAGATCTCAGATCAGACTTTCCATTCAGAAGATATTGCAATAGAGTCTGCAGTTGATTACACTTGACCTTGAACACCTGTTTGAACTGCCTGGGTCCATTAATGTGGGGATTTTTTCCAATAACTACATACAGTACTGTAAATGTATTTTCTCTTCCTTATTATTTCTTTAATAACATTTTTCTTCAGCTTACTTTAAGAAAATAGTATATAATACATACAACATACAAAATATGTGTTAACCTAGCAATAATGTTATTGGTAAGGCCAACAGTAGGCTATTAGTACAGTTTGAGCGAGTCAGAAGTTATACAAACTTTTGATGGGGGGGTGCCTTTAACTCTAGCGTTGTTCAAGGGTCAACTATTTGCATAAGTAGGGAAAAACCAACTCTCCAGTGACTTAGCACTCTATTTGCAATCTCAATTTTGAAATTTCATAAATTGGGGTTGCAGTGAATGTGGGAAAAGGTAGAAGGATGTGAGTAGGATAAAAACAAGGCACTTTTTAAAATTTTGAATATCTGTAGTTCTTTCTGGTTCGTAGAACTTAAAAAGAGAGGAAAAGTATTTCAGCTAATAAAAGATTAATTCTCTGTGGCTAGAGATGAGCAAAGATAGAAAGAGAATAGCAGGAAGTTTAATGTAGACAGGCATCGCCTCTAATACAGGATTCGGTACTGCAGTCCCCTAAATAAACAATAATCACTCATCACGTGAACAGAAGTGGTTATGATGGTGTACCATAAATACGTCAGATGGCCAGTTTTACTTCTTTCCCCTCTTCAAGGGGTTTAAAATGCTCCACTGTGCTATGCTCCCTTGCTATGCTGGCGCTTTTCTATACAAAGGTTGGAACCCAGGTTGTCGAAGGCGCCAAGGCTGTTTCTCAGCTACTCCCAAGTTCCCTGAGACATTAACACTAAAGCACTCCAAAATACTGTGCCCACGGGGACTGTGGAGGCTTCCCCACAAAACGGCGGTCTCCAGGCTGACATTCCAAATGAGCACGTGGTGATGCTCGAGTCCGAGGGCCAGGGAAAGAGGATGCTGTGCCAGTGACTCTCCAAACCACCGAGTCGTTAGACCTAGTTGAGTTAGCTTTATGCTGCCTCCCAGACGCCCGTAACGAACGCTTCGGCCGCAAATCTCTGGAATCCGGCAGTGTTTTTCTTCAAACCCTACGCCACAACAGACTATACTTCAGGGCTCTAACCTTTCCGATTGGCCTTTTTAGCCTCCACTCCGAGGCTAGTGACTTTTTCCCTGGTGCATGCGCGTCACTTGCTTCCGGCCTGGGCGCTCGGTGTACCGGCCTTTGCCGCCCGGGTGGAACTCCTATCCGGCTTTGCTCGGTCTAGGTTCCTTCGTGTGCCATGGCTCGGGACTCAGGTCCCCTTCCTGAAGGACCTCTCTTAAGACTCCTACCCTTAGACACTAGGGACCGAGACACCCAGCGCTGTCGCCTGGGCCCGGCAGCCTTCCGTGTCTTGGGTGCGCACTTGGGCTCGGCGGTGAAGATATCGCTGCCTGACGGCGGCTCCTGCCTTTGCACTGCTTGGCCGCGGCGAGATGGAGCGGACGGGTTTGTGCAATTGGATCCGAAGTGCGCGAGCCCCGGGTGGGCAGTCGGGGCGCCGGAGTTCCAAGGGAATCTCAGCCTGAGCCACCTCCGCCTGGTGCCCTGCCCGCCCCTTCGGCGCCTCACTGTGTGGCCGGAGTTGCGGGAGCGGGCGGGCGCGCCTGGTGCTCCAAATCCAGCCGCGGTCCTGGAGGCAGCACAGGAGCTTTTGCGGAACAGGCCGGTCTCCCAGGGACACGTGGTGGCCGCCAGCCCCGGCGTCCCCGGCCCGGTGGCCGCCCTGCATATCGTCAGCGGGGTGCCTAGTCCGGATCCTGCTGGGCTGGTCACTCCTCACACCCTCATCGGCCTCAGCAGCAAGCCTCCGTCCGTAGCGCAGTCGCAGCCCGAGGTGCCTTTGGGGGGCCTTTCGGAGGCGGCCGACTCGCTGCGAGAGCTCCTCAGCCTGCCGCTCCTCTACCCCCGCGCCTTGGCCACTTTGGGGCTAGCAGTGCCCCGTGGGGTGCTCCTGGTGGGTCCCCCCGGAGTGGGCAAGACCCAGCTAGTGCGGGCGGTGGTCCGGGAGACGGGCGCGGAGTTGCTGGCAGTGAGCGTCCCTGAGCTGCAGGGCGCCCGGCCGGGGGAGACAGAGGAGAACGTGCGGCGGGTCTTCCAACGCGCCCAGGAGCTGGCCAGCCGCAGGCCCACTCTTCTCTTCCTGGACGAGGTAGACGCTCTGTGTCCGCGGCGGGGCGGCCCACACCAAGCCCCGGAGAGCCGCGTGGTGGCCCAGGTGTTGACGCTGCTAGACGGCATCAGCGGGGACCGCGAGGTGGTGGTGGTGGGATCCACAAACCGTCCGGACGCGCTGGACTCGGCGCTGCGCAGACCCGGGAGATTTGACCGAGAGGTAAATAGGCCAGGCTAGTTAGCCCATTACTCTGGAACCTCTTCCCCTTTTGGCCCCGACTGGCTTCGGCAAGGTGTTTGTCACTTAGGTTTGGAAATCGGTGAGGCTGGAATGGGGCTGTTTGTCATGCGAAGGACACGTTCGTTCAATGTCTGTATATGAGCTGTGTGTCAGGACTTTTTTTCCCCTCAAATTGATCCGAGAAGCAAGGTGGCCATTGGGGTTAGTTTTATTGGGCAGGTCCTGAAAAAGAGTACTGTCATCAGTAAAGCTAATTTTTAGGGAAAGTAGGTCTACAAGTGCATTAAACCCTAATGAATTTGGAATGAGAATGTAAAGTAAAAGGAATGCCTCGAGATATAAATGTGTCAAAAGGATGAAGACAGGGAAGAACTAAATCAGAGCAGACATAGTTTGAATGGTGTTTAGTCAAAGCAATGTTTGAACTTTGTGGTAGGATTCTAAAGGGACGGATGATATTTGCACATTTTTAGCTTACTCTGCTCTGAACTTGAGTGGATTTCTTCCTCACACCATCTAGTCCCACTCTCTCAAATCATCTCCGTAAGGACTGGAACCTGGCTCTTAGAATTTGGTATAGTCTCAAAAATAACAAAAACTTCTTAAATGACCTATGTAATATTCATCGTGCAACTTTATAGCCAGTGTTACTCTTCTGGAAAATGGGGATTTTCATGTGTTCAGAATCTAAGGAATGCTTAAGAGTACACAGTAATAGTTCCTAATTTGCTCACCAAATTATTGTACATGTTTATGAGGATAAAAATATTTTAAACTGTAAACTTTAATTTTTTTTTTGCTTTGCATGTAGGTTGTCATTGGGACTCCCACACTTAAACAAAGAAAGGAGATTCTGCAGGTGATTACCTCAAAGATGCCCATCTCTCCTCAAGTCAACTTGAGCCTCCTTGCGGAAATGACAGTCGGCTATGTTGGTGCAGACCTGATAGCACTCTGTAGGGAGGCTGCCATGCTCGCTCTGCTTCATGGTGAGAAGGTAGGAAACATGCCAAAAACATGTGTGCTAAGTTTTTATTAAGGTAACAGATTAATTTGGGGGATTAAAAAAGTGGTAAGTACATTTTCTTGCAACTTTTGATACTTTGATACATTCCACAGCTGTTTCTTATGTTTGAGAATATACTGTAGCTACGATGTCCCTTTAGTCTTGAAAACTTGAGTGTGTATTCCCTAAAAACAAGGACTTTAACCACAGCACACTTATCAAGATGAGGAAATTAACACGGACACGATACTTTAGACCTTACCCAAATCTCACCATTTGTTCCACTGATTTCCTTTAGACCAAAAATTTAAAAAGGAAAAGTGAAAATACCATTTTTAATCCAAGATTACACACTGCATTTAGTTGTTATGATTTCTTAATCTTCTTCGATCTAGAACCATTCTTCAGTCTTTTATGGCTTTAATGTTTTGAGAGTACAGGTCAGTTATTCTGTAAAATATTCCTCACTTTGGTGTGACTAATGTTCCCTTATAATTTGGTTCAGGTTTTACATTTTGGACAGACTATTACAGAATGATCCTGTGTTCTTCTCATTGCATCTGTTAGGTAGCAAATGATACCTCTTTGTCCCATGAACTCTGATTTCTTGGATAAGGTGGTATCTCCAAGATTTTTCCATTGTCATACTATTTCCCTTTGTTATTAGTAAGTATCTTGTAGGGAAAATGACCTTTTCTAACTCAGGAAAAGATTGGGCACCTGGAATTTTACTTAAATTTGACTTTGACAGTTAGATCTTTAATTCGTGAGTACCTTTCTTAAAAGTATTTAGAATATTAGCTTAAATGTAATAGTTTTCAACAATATAGATTGGAAAATCTGTTCACTTTGTATGTAATAAGTAATCTTGAATTCCTAAACCCCTTTAGAAAAAATTATTTTCAAGATGCTGAGGACTGGGGACAAAGTTTTAATCTCTGTTGTAGTGGGCTTATAATTTTTAAAACTCAATTTTGAATTTGTTTAATCTATAAAAGGATGACTTATCCTAAAACGTTAAAACCTCTTTACCTAGATAATTTGTATCCTTCCTCAGTTTATGTATTTTTATTCTTACATTGACATTGGGGAAGGAATTACATAAATTTAAGTCCTCATCTTCTGGGTTTAGAACCCAAACTTCTTGAAGATATAATGACAAGTCCCTGTGTACAGTTGTGAGGACATATGCCTTTTGAGGGGATGAAGAAAGTACCAAGAGATGGGAAATGGGATTTACATTTAGGATTCCCTCTGCTTTGAAGTTCCAGGTTTGACCTTAAGCACCTTGGCTTAGGTGGACCAGCCAGCTGCTGTCATCCTAGGGCAGAGCCCAGTGCTACTTGAGGAGGGGCCTGCCCAGGAATAGTTACCACAGGTGATGGCTGAGTTCTTAAACAACCAGGGGAAGTGGAAGAAAGAAAGGCATAAAGGAAGAAGGGACAGAGGCATCCGGAGAGGTACTGGCTCCATCTTTTTCTTCTTTCCTCCTCCAAGCAGCTGAGGGCCTCCTATTGCCTCTGTGTGTGCCAGGGCAGACAAGGGACACATTCAAGTTTGTTCAGCTTTTGTGAAGAATTCCTATTAAAGGATGAGAATTAACATAAACACAAGTACGCACGGAGGGAAAAGAATTTTATGTGCCTGAGGGGATTATGGGAGTCAAGTGAAATAATGTACGTATAAGTGATGTGGAAATATTGATGGGATTTTCAAATATTAGTAGGAGTTACCTAAAGATTAATTAGTCAGGTATCTAGTATCTGATACTGCCAGCCAGTTAAAAAAAAAAAGTTGTTTAAAAGGTTATTTAACAGTATTCTTTATAAGGAATAATCAACAAGATAAAAAATTATCAAGAAAGTAAAAATTGCCTGAAATCTCCCCCAGAGATTATAATTATTAACATTTTTTGGAATGCTGTTCAGAATTGCTTTATATATACATATTCACTTAACATCATTTTATGTAAATGGGATAAAATGGTTGGTTATTAAAAATGAAAATTTTTGGACAAGTAAATGTTTAGAATTTGATATGAGGGTATATATTTAAATGTGATACAGATATTATAAATAAAAATGAGTTTTTTAACTTGAACATAAACTCTACTTCACTAGAATGATGAAGGGAATTGCTAGAAGATTCTCCAGAATATACTCTTAGAGTGAAGGCAGCCTTTCTTAGCATACCATAAAACCTAATAGCCAAAAAAGGAAATGGTTTACTAATTTGGCCATTTTGGAATGGCAAAACGATAAACAAAGATACGGGATAGCCCATGACAGAAATACCAATTACCTTGATATAGAAACAACTCTCATGTACCAATATGAAAAGACAAGTAATCCAAGAGAAAACGGGTGATAAGGCATGAACAGGTAGTTGACAGTAACAGGGTTACAAATGGTCAATAAACATGAAACATTCTCTTTAAAGATTACACTTGCGGGTTTTTCTAACTTTCTATTTTGAGATAATTAAAACTGTAGGGAGATTTGCAAGATAGGGAACTCCTGCTAAATCCTTAATCTGAATTCACCAGCTTTTAACATTTTGCATAATTAGCTTTATATTGGATTGGCCAAAAAGTCTGTGTAGTTTTTTCCGTAAATTAAATGACACATTTTTCATTTTCACCAGTAACTTTATTGACTATCTCCTGAGTGGTACAATATTGGTTGTTCTCAGTTAATGTGTCATTGATTGCTGTCAACTTCAGCTGACTACCTGACCATGGAGCATCGTCCAGTGAGAAATCTATAGCACAGAACTTCACAAACCACTTTTGACACATTTGATCATTCACAGTACATTCTCTGTACACTGCACAAATCTTTTTTTTTTTTTGGAATTTCAGTTGCATTTTTCTTTGTTTGAAATAATAAACCGTAATATGCCAAAAATGTTGGGTATTTTCTTCCGGCATCAATATTAAAATGGCTATATAAAAATTTACCAATTTTGATAAGTTTTTTTAAATGCATGCTGATATGACAGCTGTGACAATACAGTCTAACAAAATTGTTTCAAATGAAGTTAAAGACAACTAAGTGCTATTATTATAGCCATCTTATGAAAAAACCAAATGAATTTTGACCAATCCAATATTTTCTCTCTGTATATATGCATGTATGTATAAACATTTTTCTGAAACATTTGAGGATGGGCTGCATACATCATAACCCATTATCCTTTAGTGTTTTAATGTCTGTTTCCTAACAACAAGGATACTCATACATGACCACGGTATGGTTACGTGTATTCATTATATTCAGGAAATTTAATATTGATACAAAATGTTATCAGATCTATAGTCCATATTTTAGTTTTGGTAATAATTTCAATTTTTTTTTAGTATTTTTTTCTTTGAGTACAGAATCTAGTTCAGTATAATATGTTATACTTAGTTTTTATTTTTAATCTTGAACACTTTCATAGCCTTTTGTGTGTGTGTGTGTGTGTGTGTGTGTGAGAGAGAGAGAGAGAGAGAGACACTTGAGATTGACATTTTTTAAGGATGCGGGTCAGTGATTTTATAGAATACCTCTCAGGCTGGGTTTGTCTAATGTTTCTTCATAAATTTAGGTTATGCGTGCCTGTGGGAATACTGCATAAGTGCAGTGTGTCCTTCTTAGGGTATTACATTTGGAGGCACAAGATGCCCCTAAGTGGTGACTGATGTGATCAACCAGTCAAGGTTTTGTCCAGTTTCCCCACTATATAGCTGTTGTCTTTCCATTTGCAACTAATAAATCTATGCGGAGACCTTCTGAGGTGATGCAAACATCCTTCTTGTCAAACTTTCCCTCCCCTAGATTAGAATCCATTAATGATTCTTGCTCGGAAAAGCCTTTATTATGATGGTTCCAAAAAAGGTCTTTTTCTAATCCCTTTACTCCCTCGATCTCACTCTTGATTGAAGAAATTCAATTAACACAATAGTGAGTCCTATTTCCTCTGTCACATGGGAGAAATTTAAGAGTTTGGTGATGTCCAGTGTCAGAGAGGTGTGGGGAGAACAGCACCTTTTTGTTTATTGGTGCAGCTTTGAGGACAGTTTGGTAATAGCTGTCACAACTGTAAATGTACATGTTCTTAAGCTCTGCAGTTCTGCTTTGAGGAAATGACATAGAATACTTGACACGTAGCCCTGACTGGTGTGGCTCAGTGGGTTGGGCATCCTCCCACAAACCGAAAAGTCACCAGTTCAATTCCCAGTCAGGGCACATGCCAGGGTTGTGGGCCAGGTCCCTGGTTGGGGGCATGTGAGAGCCAACCCATCAATGTATCTTTCACACATCTGATGTTTTTCTGCTTCTCTTTCACCCTCTCTTCCCCATTTTCTAAAAATAAATAAACACAATCTTTTTTTTAAAGTACTTGACATATAAAAGTGAGGCAGAAAAAAAGGAGTGAGATAGTGCTGTATTAGTTGACATGTAAAGGTTTCTAAGATATGTGAAAAAAGTACAAATTAATATGTATGGTATGTTCCCATTTGTGTTATCTGTTTGCAAGGATATACGCATGCTTATGATTATTAAACATACTGGGAGAACTCAGTATGACAGGGGAGACTGCTGACATCCTCTGGGGATGAATGTTGCAGGGGTAATTTTTTGTACCATATGTGTAAATTTTATAATGATAAAATAGGTTTACAAATTTAAAGAGGATAGAAAAAGTAATTATGCAAAAAAGTCTCACCTCATTTTTGGTTTGATTTTGTTTTGGGTGTATTTCTTCAGAACCAGGACAATCCAATGATTGATGAAACAGACTTCCTTGAAGCTTTTAAAAAGATTCAGCCTTCATCATTTCGAAGTGTCATTGGGCTGATGGACATCAAACCTGTTGGCTGGGAGCAGATTGGTGGCCTTGAAGATGTGAAACTGAAGTTAAAACAGGTGAGACGGGGGCTGCTTAAGCCAGCAGAATATTGCAGTTTAAGTGTAATCAGTGTGTTTATGGTGCAAGCAGGCAGTGCTGACACCGCTCTTCCTGCCATCACTAATTTGATCCCAACGTTTAAATCTAGTGATCACTTCTCGGTCTTTATTTAATTGGACTTCTGTAGGCATCAAATAGTAGTTTTCACACTTTCCTACCTTATTCTCTTTTTGTTTGTTTTATGCTTTGAAGAGTTCATAATCTAGAGCAGGGGTCAGCAGCCTTTATCTGTAAAGGGCCAGACAATAAATATTTCAGGCTTTGTGGGCCATATAGTCTCAAGTGCAACCACTCAGCTGCCGTGGTAGCACAAAAACAGCCACAGACAGAACGTCGCAATGGGTGCTTGTGTTCCGTTGAAACTTTCTTTATGGACGCTGAAGCCATGTAATTTTCACATCATGAAATATTTTTTTCCCAAGCATTTAAAAATATAAAAATGATTCTTAGTTCACAGGCTGTACTAATACATAGGTGGTGGGCTTTACTTTGGCATGGGACTGATAAAAGCACAACATTATAATAAACAGTAAGCATGGCCTGGACGGCTGCCTGTACTGGTTCCTACAGTGGATGTTGAGGGACGCAGCTCTCAGCTGCACTTGCCTGCATTGCAGTCTTAGAAATTGATTTGTCAACTTACCTTCCTGTGATCCTGTCATAAGGATCTAGGTTTCTCTAACCACACACACACAAGACTGATCAGTAAGTATCTATTATAATTTATTCATCTTTACTGGGAGCTACAGCTACAGTGAACCCCCTGGCATTGCTGTGTCCATGGTTAAGCATTTACGATATGCTTTGATTTTCTACATACATTGTTTCATTTAATCTTCACAAAATATGTGAGAGATTAGCCACACCTTCCAGTTGGAAACTCTTTAGCTTTGAGATGTTAAGCTTTCCTGCCTTTCTGAACACTCCCCTCCCATACCTTACATGTTAGTGTTCCAAGCTCCTGGGAGTCCTCTTTTTGCATTCCGTGAATGAGTCCATGATTTTGATGTCCAAGACTTCAACTGTCCTCTGAAAACTTAACTCAAAAATCTTTGTATTCTGCATAGGTACTTCTTTTGATTATCAGAACTACCTATCTGTTGACCTACTGGATAACTTCCTGGGATCTCAAACTCAGCTTGTTCCAAGTTCAGCTAATCAACTCCACCTCCTGTCACCTGGATTCCCTGCCTCAGTGCATACAGCCAGCCACCCCACCCCCAAGAGTCAGAAACCTGTCTTCTAAATGTATAGGGTCATAGCGTGTATGCATGTAACTTCCCCTCTGGATTTAGAACTTAGTCCCTGCGTAAAACACAATTACATCTTATGTTTAAATCCATCCCTTGTACACCTCCATTGCCTCTGACACATCCGGCCTTATTATTTTGTACTCTGAGTCATTACAAGAGAATTTTAACTGGTCTCCCTGCCTCTAGTTTCATTTCCTTCTAGTCTATTGTGTGTATTGCTTCCTCAATGTTGCCTAAAACTCATGAGGCCTGTTGTGACGTGACTCCTCCTTCCATTTCAACTCCGTTGCTTTTTGGTTCCCCCACCCTCCTTCTGTTCCTGCTTACTGTTGGCGGGTGCATTGGGTGTCTCCCTGTACGTAGTGTTTCTTCTCCATGGAATGTCCCTTCTCTCACCTGGTTGTTAGTGTACAAGCCTGTCTCTCAACTAAAATATGAATTGCCTAGGTACAGAGGTCTTGTCTTATCCCTTTTTTGTAGAGAAGCAATATAACAGAAGTTAAAAGCTTCTGCTCTTGATCTGCACTGCCTGCAGTCAGTCTCAGTTCTGCCACCTCACTAGCAGTAAGCCCTGGGCAAGTTACTTAACTTTTCTAAGCCTGAGTGTCAACATCTGTAAAATGATAATGATAAAAGTATCTACCTAAGAGGTAGTGAAGATTTGTTTATCTAGTTAACATTTATCAAGTGGCTGCTTTGTGAAGGTGTCATTCTAGGTGCTGGGGATTTAGAGGTAAAGTCGACTTATTTTCTAGCAGAAGCAGAATTGAACAAACCCAGCATGGAAAAAATAATCATTTCAGGTAGTGCACGAATGAGTGCTCCAAAAGTAAAAGCTGGGCAGTAGCATAGAGTAACTAGGAGAAGGAGGGTCTGCTTTAATTAGAGAGGTTAGGGAGGACGTCTTGGAGGAAATGGCATTTGAACTGAGGCCTGAATGATGAGGAAAAGCCGCACAAAGATCTTGAGGGAGTGTTCAGGCAGAGAGAGAACAGCAGCTAAAGGACCAGAGATGGGAATGGTCTGGGGTGTTTGGGCAATAGGTTATGGAAGGCCTTGTAAGCAGTGGTGAGTGAGGAGTTTGGATTTGGGGTTAATTGTAATTCTGATGGCAAGTCATGGAAGGATTTTAGGAAGGAAGTAATGTGCCCTGACTTAGGTTACAACATCTCTGGCTGCTCTGGAGAATAGACTACTTTTCCAGCTCAAAATGGGTACCTGAGAATTGTTGAGTGAACAAATGAATTTACTGAATTATTTGATGTTTTATTGTTTTACTAAAATGACCATCTCTTTTTGTGTACTACAGAGCATCGAATGGCCTCTGAAATTCCCGCATGAATTTGCTAGGATGGGCCTGCCACCACCAAAGGGCGTTCTCCTCTGTGGCCCCCCTGGATGTGCTAAAACCACCCTGGTGCGGGCCCTGGCCACCAGCTGCCGTTGCTCTTTGGTTTCTGTGAGTGGAGCTGATCTCTTTTCACCTTTTGTTGGAGACTCAGAAAAACTCTTGTCTCAGGTTGGTTTGTTTATTTTCCCCCATGCAGTTAAGTGTACTTTTGAATTTTTCATTTTATACATTAAGGATAAACCTTGTTTTTTAATATGTAACTGGCTTTTCTCTTGTTAGAAAAGTTATACAGAGGGGAGGTGGGAGGGGAATAATGGGGGAAGAAAGGGGAGGGCTGTCAAGGAACATGTACAAAGGACCCAAGGACAAACCCAAGGGGGGTAGGAGGTGGGGGTTGGGTGGGTGGGGGACAGCTGGAGGGTAAAGTGGAGACAACTGTGCTCGAACAATAATAAAAATAAATAAATAAAAGCTGTTAATTTGAAAAAAAGTTTTACATATTTATTAGAAAATGTAGAAAATATAAATAAGCCATTTGTAACCTTTCTACCTACATTAACATTTTGATGAATTTCTTTTGTCTTTCTGTTTCCTTGGGCAGGGGATATATATGTGTCTTTATTGTGATTTTTTTAACGTAACTTTTAAAATTCCTTAATATTAAAAATTCTTTGAAAATACGGTTTTTAACCCTTGTGTAATACTCGATTGTTCCTAGTTTTATTTCTTTGTTCCCCAATCCTAAGAGATTTAGAATTTTTCTCTTCTTTTCACACTGTAAAAAGAGTAATGTTGAAAACATACACTCACATGAGTGAGGCATGATGTATAACTTTTAAATATTTTTATTTCCCTAACAAAAGGTGTTTCGACAAGCAAGAGCAAATACTCCAGCAATTGTGTTTTTGGATGAAATTGATTCAATCGTGGGCGCTCGATCAGTCAGCAGCACAGGATGTGGTGTTCAAGAGCGTGTTCTTTCTGTTCTCCTGAATGAATTAGATGGTGTTGGCCTGAAAACTATGGAGAGAAGAGGAAGTAAATCAGATCAACAGGGTAAATACAAGGAGCTGAAAAAAAATGAAGAGGTATTTATTAGCCAGATTACACCAAAAATCCAGGCCAACATTAAACAGAATGCATCTACACCAGCTTTCCCTGAGCTGGGTTCATCTAATAGAAAGAATTATGTAATTTCAGTTTGACTCTGTTTAGGTTCTTTCCAAAGCTGGTAAAATTGTGATTTAGCTGGAAAAAAATGAGGTACATTTTATAATAACTTATCTTAGCTATACATGAATGTGGATTTTATTCTAAGGTGAAGAAATATAACTTTACATATTGTTAATGGGGAAGAGCGTTTCTTGTTATTTCTACATCCTGAAAAGCCAGTGTTCATCCCTTTGTAAATTTTTTGTGGTAAAACAAAACATTATTATTTTCAATAATTTTAGAATTGAAAATTCCAGTTTCCTTGAGGAAAGGGTATCCTTAAGAATAAACCTCGCTTTTTAAAATGTAACTGGCTTAGTTATAATGAAGTTAAAATGACCTTTGGAAGTCCTCTCTTCCCTTCTGAGTCTTTTCCAGATAGAGTTTGGTATCTTAAATAGTCCCTGACAGATAATTTTTCTTTTGTTCTTTTCCTGTTACTACTTGTTTCCCATTTTTAAAATTGTTTAAAATTTTAAAATTGTTTCCTGGAAGGAAAGTCTTACAGCTCCTTAGGAACATGTGCCACTAGAATTAGAAGGGACCCATGAAATTTTCTAATCAAATCTCAAAATGCAGGGATTACTCAATAGTGTCTTACAGGTGTTTTTCCAGCCTCAGCTAAAATACTTGCAGATAGAGGGAACTCACTGCTTTGAGAGATCACATTGCCAGAGAACTATTGATACTTTGGTTATTCAGTTCCACAGACAATTTTGCATACTTCGTATGTAAGGCCTTGCCCTGGCTGCTTATCTGCATCCATGATTTATATACCTACAACTGGCATTAATTGTCATATTTCTGCCTCTGAAATGAGAAATAAAAAGTAAAGTGAATCTCTCTCTTTAAGCAGACAAGCCTAGACTTTTCATAGGCATACATCTCCATGTGTTTGTCATATGCTTCTGTCTCTTCAAGTCATCCATTTAGGTTGTAAACATTCACTGAGGCTCAGGTGCCCTCAGACACCAGGTGGATGTTGTCTGGTCTGAGGTAAGACTTTTCTTGGAGAGATGTTCGCTCACGATTGCTGCTTCCCTCATCATGTGTGCAAGTGGCTCTTTGATGAATAATTTGCTAGCGCAGTACCTTGAAATCGAGAAGGTAGTCTGGATAGGAGGTATAAGCATTCTAGTCCCAGGAAAAAGATATCCCTATTTAAAAACAAATGGACCTACTGATTTGTAATTTAAAAAAAATACAATTAATGATTTATTGACATTATCTTGTATTGTGTGTTTTCCCTCAGAGTTTCAGGAAGTTTTTAATCGAAATGTCATGATTGTTGCGGCAACAAATAGACCGGATGTGTTAGATGATGCCCTGTTACGGCCCGGAAGGCTGGACAAGATTATTTGTGTTCCACCTCCAGATGCAGAGGTAATCGCGGCACACATTTACTTTTTGCGAACGTCTGAACTCTCAGGGGCCTGGCAGATCGAATCCCAGACTGGGTTCTGCATTCTTCCTTGCCTGGTGGCCCTTCATAAATCATCTTTTCCATCTGCTTTTTCTGAGTACTCTGGCCCTGCTTTCAGAGAACCATAAGCCAAAAAGTAAGGTAGTAATTTCAGTGAACTTAAACTCAGTTTGTTGAGTCTACTCACCATTATTCTGCAACCAGAACGGAGGAGTCCTAAAGTGTTAAAAGGGTTTTGGAGCTTATACGGGTCAGCATCCTCATTTTACAGTGGAGAAATCTGAGATGTCAGAGATTACAGTGTATCCACAGCCAAAGAATCAGTGAGTTCTTTGCCCTTTTACCGTCCAGAGCCACTGGCAGGGAGGGTGAAAAAAACAGAGAATGGACTTTTTCTTTCCTTGGGCTTTTCTCAAGTTTTGAAAAGATGCAAAATTTTTTTTAAATGTCCATTATATTTGTTAGCTGTGTCTGATAGTTCACGTATTTACTTTTAAACCTGTCTGATGGCACTGTTTATACCCAGAAAAGAGATTCATCATGTCTCTTAAAGAGATGTATCTATGATTGGCTATTTTAAATATTAACTGTAAAAATACTAAAATTTTATCATGATTGTTGGGGACCACCCTACCTGGTCTCAGGAAGCTGTAACCCCCCGTGACTTAGGCTGAGTGAGAGACCTCTGGACCAGAAGCCACTAAGGAGACTAAACTTATTTCCCTGGCATGAACGCTGCCTGTTCTAATGCCTGGCTTCCCTTTTGCATGGTCGGCAGTCAATGACAGGTAACAATTCTCTAAGAAAGAGAATGAATCTAAGGCAGACGCGATCATGTGGGAATGCCCTAAGGGAAGAGATTCGGGGCTGTGGAAATGAAGGGGTGATGGACATCAACCCCTGCCCCCTTGGCTTTGTCAAAGCCTGAGTCCTTGTTCTTAGATGTGAGAAATCCAAGTCTCCTGGCTGCCTCTGTCTTCTGCTCTTTTCAGGCCTGCAGGGGCAGTGCAGTCCAGACCAGAAGTGGCGGACCCCTGGGGTAATCAGGCCTGGAACATAGAATATGCAAGATCCTGTGAGATCTGTTTGCTGGAGGATGTTATTAACTTGGAATTTTCAGGCACAGACAGGAAACCTTTGGAATCTATAGTCCTTTCATATGTTAAAACCCCAAACTTTGCCCAGAATCACAGCAGGAGTTCTGTCTGCACCTTTATAAGTCACCTACATCTTTTGATCTTTTCTGCCAGACTGTGAATCCACAAACTAAGTCTGTTTTCTCAATAAAAATCTGCTTGGTGATGGATACGGCTAGAGGGAGTGGCCATGATGCTCTCCACTAGAGAGAGTGGCCCTTCTGTCCCTATTCCCCCACAGGGTTGTCTCTGTGTATGTTTTTCTCGTGTTTCGACGAGCATCCGCAGCCGAGATGGATACTGCTGGCCGGTATCATCCACACATGATGTCATTTTTACCATTGTAACATGAGCCGTTGATGAGTTCATCTTTTTTACCTCTTCAGAAGTGATTCTTTCTTACTGTTTGGTTCTTAAATACATACCCTTTCTATGTAATATAATAGGAAACTCTAACTTGAAATGTTTTAATATAGCATGTGTCAAACAGAAATGTTATAAGGTTATAAACATGTCATATTTTGTTCCAGGGCAGGCTTTCCATTTTGAAAGTCTATGCAGAAAAGATGCCAGTGGGGCCTGATGTTTCCTTAGAAAGCCTAGCTGCAGAAACCCTCTTTTTCTCTGGGGCTGATCTTGGAAACCTCTGCAAAGAAGTAAGTTCATTAGTGGAGAAATGTTGGGTTCAAAGCATTTCTTCCTTTATTCAGCTCTTCATTCAGTCAGCAGCATTTACTGACAGACGTCTGTGTGGCAGGCGCCCGGCAAGGCGAAACAGACGGCAGCAGCCCTTCCCTTACAGAGCTTCTAGGTTGGTGGGGGAGTGTGCGGAGAGGCAAATCTTAACACTGAGTTGGCAACTGAAAATATGTAATGAGTCGGGGAGGTTTAGGGTGCTGTGGAAGCACCTAGGAAGAACACCAGACTTGGGTGTCATAAAAGGCTTTGTGAGAGAGGGTGTGTGAACTGGAACTGGGAGGATGATGAGGGAGTTACTAAGGGAGGGAATGGGAGTGTTTGAGGAAGAGGGAATAAAATATGCAGACGATTGGAGACAAGAAATGACATGACATTATTGAAGTGGGCAGTGGCTGGATCACTCAGGTCCTTCTAAGCCATTTTAAGGCATTTAGACTTTATTTTGAGGACAAAAGAAGCCATTGTCCATGTTTTTCCCTTTCCATAAACTTTTTTCTCAGTTTAAATAAATTTTATTATTTCTTTAATTTTATTTTTCAATCACAGTTTACATTCAATATTACTTTTTATTAGTTTCAGGTATATAGCATAGTGGTTAGACAGCCATACTTTCCCTGGTAGTCTGATATTCTCAGGACACACCTGGCACCATACATAGTTACTGACTACATTCCTTATACTGTACTTTACACACCTGTAACTATTTTGTAACTACCAATTTGTACTTAATTCCTTCACCTTTTTCACCCAGTCCCTCAATCCCGCTCCCCTCTGTCAGCCATCAATCTATTCTCTATACCTGTGAGTCATACTGTTGCAAATGATAAGATCCCATTCTTTTTTATGGTCAAGTGATATTCCATTGTATATATATGCACCACAGCTTTTTTAACTATTTGTCTATTGAGGGTCACTTGGGTTGCTTCTATATTTTGACTATTGTAAATAATGCTGCAATGGACATAGGGGTGCGTATATTCTTTCCATAAACTTCTTTAAAATATAACATTCAGAAAAATGCATAGATCATAAGGGTACAGTTTATTGAATCAACATAAAGTGAACACATTTGTATATCTACCACTTAGCTTAAAAAAAGAGTATTATGGCCCTGGCTGGCGTAGCTCAGTGGATTGAGCGCGGGCTGTGAACCAAAGCATCACAAGTTCGATTCCCAGTCAGGGCACATGCCTGGGTTGCAGGCCAGGTCCCCAGTGGGGGCCGCATGAGACCAAACCACACATTGATGTTTCTCTCTCTCTCTCTCTTTCTATCTCCCTTCCCCTCTCTAAAAATAAATAAAACCTTAAAAAAAAAGAGTATTATGAACACCCCAGAAGCCTCCCTTGGGCCTTCCCACTCTCTATCCCAAAGGAAACCACTCCTGAACATTCGGGTTACCTCTTGTTTTACGAACTGTGCTGCTATGAACAATCTTGTACATGTCTATTGGTATACATGTGTATGCGTGTCTGTTTCATGCATGTATATATCGACAAAGAGAATTGCTGGGTCATAAAGTGTGTGTGTGTGTGATCTGTTCCTTTGTGATCAGTGCTGTGTCCCTGTTTGGAAACTCCTAGTCTCGGGTCAGGAAGGTAGTCTCTGATCTTCAGATATGTATGTGGGCTCATAATGTATGTATTATTCTGCAACTTTTTCCTTTTTTCCTGTTTAAGGCCAGAGATTAATGTAGAAGAAAAGTTCTGCTATGAGGACTTTTAAGTGCTAACTTTTTAGCTTAATGTTTTGGTTGTTATGAATACTGGCTGTTAGGAATTTGGTTCTATGCAGTGGGACTGAGCTGTTTGCATTCGGACTTTATATGTTATAAAACAAAAATGAAGCAGACTATTTCTTATTGTCTCTCTTAGGCTGCCTTGTTGGCTCTGCAAGAAAATGGACTAGAAGCAACCGCTGTGAAACAAGAGCACTTTCTAAAATCACTTCAGACTGTAAAGCCGTCCTTAAGTCACAAGGATTTGACTTCATATAAAAACTTATTTCAGACACAAGAATTTTCTAATTTAGAGGATATTTAAAAAGCATATACCTGCTCAAAGATTAATTGAAATGTGAACTTGAACTACAGTTTGCAACTTCACAGTTTTACAGTTTGTACATGTTATTTCTTGTAAATAAAACAAACTTGTGCCTGATAAGCTAAGATTTATCTTATTTCTAAAAGGTATGTTAAAATATCATACTTCAGGAAGAAGGTATATGTATGTGTGTTGATTATGCAGTGGGGGGATGGTTTGGTTTGGTTTGGGTTGATTGCATTTTTAACTTTATTTTGAAATATTTTCATACAGAAAAGCTGCAAGAATAGTATAAAGAAAGAACTTTGATATATTCTAACCCATATTCACCATTTTTTTGCATTTTGCCATATGCTGAACTATAGACATCCTCATTTTACTCCTCCTTGCTTTACTGCGCTTCACAGATGTTGCATTTTTCACAAATTGAAGGCAAGACCCCCCCACCAGCAAAAAGATTACAGCTCATTTTATTGTGATACTTTATTGCAGTGGTTTGGAAGTAAACCTGCCATATCTCTTGAGTTATGCCTGTGTTTAAGAATAGATATTATACTGAGAATTTCATCTGGATAAGATTCTCTTGCATATGGACTGGGAACTTTAAAAATTTGAAATATGATTAACATTCTCGTGAGATTTAAATATTACAGAATCTGTACAATTATTGAGCATTCACTATGTGGTGGGACTTGTGCTGGCCTCAAGGATCTGGTGTAGGAAAGGATGCATTTGAGAGCGACTGATGAGGAGATCTCAGGGGTAATTGGATGTGGCTGGCGAAGTTCATATGGTTCCGAGGCCTCTCACCTGAATTAGCTGGACAGGTGGTGGTGCCAAGACAAAGAATGCGGGAGGGAGAAAAATGGGAACTGTTCGAGGGAGGGGTGGATAAGGAAGAAAATGAGTTAGACTAGGTATGTGCCCTGACTGGGAATTAGACTCACAATCTTTCTGTTACAGGAAGATTGCTCCATCCAACAGCCACACTAGCCAGGGCCAGTGTATATTTCCTACAAATAAGGTTATTTTCTTATGTGACCACAGTGCATCAAATTCAAATTTAAATTCAAAAAATTAAACACAAATACAACATATTAATCTATCATCCCATGGTTTTCCATCCATCGTGCCAGCAGTCATTGGTTTCCCGTTTCAGAATCCAGTCTAGGATCATATATCCATTTTCTTGTTCTTTTTTCCTCTTTAGCCTCTTAAAATCTGAAACAGTTCCTCAGTCTTTAGACCTTGACATTTTTGAAGAGTACAGACTAATGATGTGACAGAACAGTGGTTCCTGATTTGTGTTGGTCTGATATCACACGGTGGTAGATTCTGGTTACGAGTCACAAGCAGAGCCGAACGTAAGTGCCGTCCTGTCCTCGGAGAGCTCAGCTAGAGGCACGGATGTCTGTGTTATTTATCGGTCATGTTAATTTCGATCACTTGTTTATGGATTACCCAGTTTCTCCACTGTATAGCTACTATTTTTCTTTTTGTAACTGTAAGTATATTTAAGGAGATAGGTCACATGTACATTTTAATTTTCCTTTATTACAAAAGTAATTAGAGTGCTAGAAAATACAGATAATCAATCACAAACAAAGCACTTGAGTATTTAACCTTCCAGTCCCTTATACAGGTATAGATCAGACATGGTACTATGTAACTTGCTTTTCTCACCTAGCGATACTTGGTAAGCATCTTACCCAGCCTTTCTTCGCTCACAAGGTGCCATAGCAGTTGTTGGAGTTAAGTGAATGAGACAGACATAGGACCAACAAGCGAGCTGGGAGCACAGGCCTCAGACAAGTCACGCAGTGAGTTACATACAACCAGAAGGGGTTGGTATGATCAGAGCATAGTGCATGAAATACACAAAGTCATAAATGCTAAGTTGTTGGGAAGCTGTCTTTCTGACTGGAGTCAGGACACATGAGCAAAACCTCACCTTTTGGGGAGTAATTATAGATACAACATCGTAATTCATCTAAATTATTCTAACAAACTGACCCCTCGCTTTTGAGTAGTGGGAAAAATGCCTAGGAAAGCTCTTAGGGTTCTGACAGCTTTCATTCATGTTCTCTTATCAATTGATCTCATAGGACAAGGCAGCCATTAAGCTTTGCCAGCCCTAGGTCTGAGGCACCCTGGCCTGAACCCCTTAACTCAGACTCTAGCTGTAGGCCTCTTGTTTTTTCTGTGAAAAAGTTGGTCATACCAGGCTGGAAATTTAGTATCCACACTTTGGTTTGAAGCTGAATTTTTATTTGAAAACATTTGTTAAAATTGTAATTATAACTTCTTATCAGAGCTTTGGAAGCCCCCTGAGGGCAAAGCCATGTGTTTTCCCCATTGGAATACTCAGTACATGAGGAAGTGAGAGCAAGGATTTCTTTGACTCAGTTTTTTTCCCATTTATTTTTTAAATTAAGTTTACTGGGGTGACATTGGTTGATAACAAATTTCAGGTGTGCGACCTTACAACTCGACATCTGCATGTCCTTTTGTGTGCTCACTGACCACAGCCTAGTCTACTTCCGTCACCATATATTTGACCCCCTTTACCCTCCTCATCCTCCCCCCACTTCAATTCACCTTTGGAAACCACCTCTCTGTTGGCTTTGACTCAGTTTTCATGTGATTTGACGATGGCCCTGGGCAACTTCCAAAAGCTGTTCTTAGTTGGTGGGAAAATTAAAGCACTTCATTTTCTAAGCACCTGGGAAGAACAAATAGCTTTCCCTGCACATGCAGTGCAAACTCCTTTTTGAGCTACATTAATAGCCTTAAACAATGAAGTAGTACCTCGAACATGCCAACATTTAGCAGATCCAATGTTTGCTAAACCTGCTAACTAGGTAGCCACTGAAGAGTAGGCTGAAAGAATTTCAACAAAAAAATTTAATAAAAATATTTTTTCTCATCAAGCGTGAGCTGAGCTGATTGAAATTTAAGTTTAAATTCCTGGTGTGGGGACCAAGCAGTCATGACTCCATGTTTCGGAAAGCCTGAGTTGCAACAATTAGAGAAGATTCCAGAAGTGTCTAACCATTGAGGTGGGGAGGGAAAGCTCCCAGGATTATGGGCTTTGGGGCAGCCACAAAGGGTGAAGCATCCTAAGTGGGTTCCTTTTTTTTTTTTTTTTTGAAATTTTATTTATTTTTAGAGAGAGGGGAAGGGAGGGAGAAAGAGGGAGAAGCATCCATGTGAGATAGAAACATTGATGGGTTGCTTCTCGTACACTCTTGGTCCTGAAATGGAACCCGAAGCTCAGGCGTGTGCCCTGACTGGGAATCAAATCGGTGACCTTTAACTTTGGGGAACCACACTCAACCAACTGGGCCATACTGGTCAGGGCCGGATCCTTCAGGGTTTGAAAGGTGGGAGCTGTGCCTGCTAGGCATCCTGGGAAAGACCAGATTATATACTGACCTTGTATCTTCCACAAATTCAATAATCTGGGCGTTAACTGAAAGGGGGGATGTGGGTTTCTGGGTGTAAGTGTTATTGCTGCAATAGAAATAAGCAGATTTTAAAGGTAATATGGACACACTACATCTGTAACTACATGCCTCCAATATGTGAATTTTTAAACACTTCCTGAATATTTTCAAATGCATGTAAGAGTGGAATAGAGTAACAAAATCCCACATATCAAACCCTAGATTGAATACTATTTTGCTAAATTTGCTTTATTTGTTTTTTATTAAAGTGATTTAAAAGTAAATCTCATACATCATTTCTCCCTTAACTGTTTCCATATACATATAAACACTCTTTAAAATGGATTTTTTACATAACCATACCACCATTATCACACCTAACAAAATTAACACTCTTTTAATATTTCATATCTAGTCTGTATTTATAGTTGCCCCCAAAATGTCTTTTTACAGTTGGTTTGTCAGTTCAAATAAATACCCTTACCTTTGGTAAGTTTTGTCAGACCTTCTTAGTCAGAATTAATCATCTGTTATTGGCACCAGATAATGCCTGGGGTTAGAATTTATGGGCACTACATTGTAAGAACCTTGAAGTAAGAGACTTGTATCTTATTAATCCTTTAAATTTACTGTGCCTCAATTCTCAGAATAATGCCTAGACTACTACAAAAACTGTACTGCATTGTGAAAAGAAATAACATCAACAAAGCAGCACTCTGAATTTAAAATCATTATACATTCTAAGATTTCTTCCTGTCTTTCATCTACCTTTCTTTCCTAGAAAAACTTTTAATTAACATTTAATTAACAAACTGAAGCTTTTTAAAGAAACTTATGAGAAAAGTAGCTTTAGAAATCCTGCAGAAGGAGCACTAAAAGGCTTTAATTCTACTCAATACACCCTAGGGAGAATTAAAGCTGAATTTTCTTAAGTATCTGATATGAATCTGACCAATAGGCAAATGTCTCCAGTTACAGCTCTGGGTTTACACAGTAAGAATCCTTGTCAGAATAAGTGGGTGAGAAGCTACATTTATAATCTGTTTTATATAAAGCATATCTTTGTGAATAATAGTTACTGTTTAATTGAGTGTCCATTATAAGCAAGGCAGAATGTCACGTGATTTACTTACACAGTTGTAGGTATTTAACTCCTCCCCACAACTTCCTCCTGAACTAGGTTTGTTTCAGGCTATAGGTATACAACCTGAGATTCATAAAGGTTAGGTAGTTTCTTGAAGCCAGTTAGCTAATTAAGTGTGGCAGGGGTGGGTTCTGACCTTAGGTCACAGGTGGCAAACACAAGGCCCTTGGCCAAACCCGGCCCTCTACCTTGTTTTATCCGGCCTGGCACCTTGTTTCTACCCCACAGGAGTCCCGAGCTCTCGCTTAACTGTTAAGGAGTAGTTACATTTATACAGTCCTAAAATTCCATTCGGCCCTTTGAAGGCAACTGCCAGGCTGATGTGACCCTGTGTGAAAATGAATTTGACACCCCTGCCTTAGGAAGAATTAAAATGAGGTTGAAAGAGAGTGGCGTCTGGCTCTTTCCAGTGAACATCAAGATGTTTCCGTTTTAACCTTAACTCATACCTTGAACTTAAAACATTTTTAAAATAATTGTTTAAAATAACTTTTTAAATTTGAGTTTGTGTGCTTGGCTTAATTGCAGTAGCTAGGAGCGGGGTGCGCTAAGAACAGTGATGAGTGCCAGACAGACTTGGGTTCTGAGGACAATTCTGCCACTTACTGGCTGCGTGGCTTGAGCATCTCTGAGCCTTAATAACATACTTTGCTTGCAGAAATGTCGAGAAGATTCTGCCACAGAGCCTGGCACACGGCTCCTGTTTTAATGGAATTGTTAACACTGTTTCCTTTGTTTTGCAGCCACCGGCTTGCTCTGTGCAAGGTGAGGCTGGTAGCTTAGGGGCAAATTAAACAGGGTTCTGAAGATGAAGCCAGCAGTCCAGGTCCTCTCAGGGATGGACCTTATTCTTGAAACCGTTCCAGCTGATTTTTTGTTCTTCACCCTCGACTTTTTTACTGGGAAAAAAAATCAGGATAAGAAAATTATTCCGGGAGGAACTTGACAACTTAATTTTCATTATTTCCATATGTGCGCTATATCACATTTTGGAGCTTTTAATGTGATTGGATTCATTATAATTTAGCTGCCTGCATCTGGGAGCTTCCCCTTGGGAGGGCCTCCGCTCTGCAGCTTCTTTTCCAGACCCCTTTTAGATGTGTTGGTTTTCAACTAGGACTTGGCCATCAGCGATCCTCTTGTTCTCAGTTCCACTCCCCCACAGACATAGACGCCTGGGATAACTGGGAACCAGCCAGAGCGCCAACGCCCAGCCTGAGCTCGCGCCGGACGGCGGGTAAGAACCGTGGCCAACGGCAGGGGGCGCCGGCGCACGCATTCGGCTGCGGGGGTCTGCGGGTACGGCGTCCTGCAGGGGGCGCCCTGGAGCAGGGGCCCCGCGAGGAAAGCAAGTCAGGTCCCGCACGTCCCCCACCCGACCCGTGACCTGTGACCAGAACGCCCTGGCCAGGCCCTTCCGGCGGGGTTGTGGTCAGTATATAAAGCGCGGACGCCGGGGCTTCTTTTGGTTTTGGTCGTTAGCATCGTCCGCGCGCGTCGCGCCGCCCCGCCCCGCCGCGCAGGTGAGCCGCCAAGGCGAAGGCGCAGCTGAGCCGGCCCCAGGCTGCCCTCTGGAGTTCGTCCGCCTTTCCGGCGCCCACCAGGTTGCGTTCAAGGGGCTGAAGTTTGGGTCAACAGCTTGGATTTTTTTTGCTCTAGATTTGGCATTCTACACTGAGGTCGCCATGAACATTTTTCAAATCCTGATGAAAAAGAAGGAAGTAAGTATTTAAAGCAACTGAAAATCTTGACTAAATGTTTTTAATTTTTAAAGACGAACAGGTGGTGCATAGCTATTCTGTGATAGGTCAAATATTTCACATTGAAACATCGGAATATTGACCCTCGACCCGTTCTCCGTTAGCTTATTCCTTTGGTGGTGATCATGACGGCGGCCGCGAGCGGAGCAACGTCTTTTGCTGCATATTCCCTTAAGAAGTCCGATGTGATGTAAGTAGACATTTATTATTAAAACATTATTAGCAATGTTAGGATGATGACCTTCAGTTTATAAAATGTATGATATCAATTTCCTAGTTCTAGTACCCCCCCTAGGACAAGAATACCAAATTGTGAAGTTGGAGTCAGGGCTAGAAAGCATCCCAGTAACAGAAGACTATTAAATTATGATATTTGTAAAATTAGTTTGTTCATTAATTCTAAATATTTTTTCATCCATTGCCTACCCTTCTCCTGCAGCAAAGCAAAGTTTGTTTGTTTTTTAACTTAAATTTTAACATTTAACATTCTTAAATGATCTTTTGGGATATCCATCATCCAACTTAGATGATGGTTTTAATGATATTTTAAACTTTTTAAAAAACATTTTATTTATTTTTTTAGAGAGAGGGTAGGGAAAGAGAGAGGAGAGAAGCAACTATGTGTGAGAGAAATATGCCTCTTGCACATCCCCAACTGGGGACCTGGTTTAAAATCCCGGCATGTGCCCTGACAAGGAATTGAACTGGTGACCTTTTGATGGGTAGGCCAGTGCTCAACCCACTGAGCCACACCAGCCAGGTAATTTATTTTATTTATTTACTTATTAAAGATTTTACTTATTTATTTTTAGAGAAGGGAGGGGAGGAAGAAAAAGACAGAGAGAGATAGCAATGTGTGGTTGCCTCTCATGCACTGCCTACTGAGGACCTGGCCCACAACCCAGGCATGTGCCCTGACTGGGAATCCAACCAGAGACCCTTTGGTTCGCAGGCTGGCACTCAATCCACTGAGCACACCAGCCAGGGCTCAAATTTTAAAATTTCGATTTGTTAGAAAGATCTTTCCTAATGTGGTAGAGTTTATAGATTCAGTTATTTGCAATGAATCTAATCTCAGCTGTGGATATAAGGTAAAATACCATATATTGTGAGATATGAGGAAGAGAGAAACTTGAAACGGAGCCTGGCCCAGTCCAGGGCTAGAACGGGCAGCTTTGGCAGGGGGCCTAGGGCTCTGCAGTTCACCACCTGCAAAGTTCAAGCCCAGCCCTTCCGTTGGTCCCAGAAACCAGGGCAGGGACACTTTTGCTTTCTGTTAGTCCAGGTTTCCACCCCTATTGCTATTCAGCTTATGAGAATATTCTCCAATCTAGCCCAATAATGGGAATTCAGATCTCCTATGCTGCAGAGGAATTAATCCCTAATGTTTGAGTCAAACCTGTGTAGCCCCTTTAAGGAATCTTCCAGTACTTTCAGTTAACTAACAGATGAATGCCTCAGTGTGCAGTCTGGGTCTGTCCCCAGCATGTTTATAGACCCAATATCAGAGTTGGTTTAAATTCACCTACTTTCATGTTTACTCAGCTTTCTTTCATTTGTAGCATTGATCGAAAAAATAATCCAGAACCTTGGGAAACTGTGGATCCTAATAAACCTCAAAAGGTATTTCTGAACTTAAAAAAAAATGGTTTACATTTAGTGCAAGCCTTAGCATCATTGCCAGCAAAACAGATTTAATACCTTTCACTTCTAGGGGCCGTTTAGTGTAGTGTCAACGAGAGTGCTATAGAGTTGTAGAGATGTAGTGTGAATCCCTGCTCCGTTATTCACATGTGATTTTAGCCAACTCAGCCTCTCTCAGGTTCTCAGAGAGAACTTGGGCACAATAATAGGGTTAAGAAGATTAAAGAAGATAAAATACATAAAATCCTTTAGCATCATGCCTGGCCAATAGTAGACACTCAAATATTAACTTTTTTTCATAATAGCAACATTATCTCATTTTACCCATTACTTACATAAATTTAATATAAGGTCTTTTGTAAAACATTACAGGAGTTCCTGAAAAACAGAAGTAGCATTCACTTCAAGCAAAAGTAGCTAATATTCACTTATTCTTTTGACACTATTGCAAAGACTTCTTGCATTTTAAATATTTTGGAAGTAATAAATATTTAGTCTGTTAGACTGAACAATACTTAGGTCTGTCAGGGAAGCCTTTTTTTGTTTTTTTAACAAAACTTTCAAATAACAGCCTGGCCTGGTGAGGACGTTCATGATCTTTTAAAGCTACCTACATCTCATAGGTCCTAGAGAGTAACAGAAAACTTGTGAGGATAAATGAGAATTTCTGAATGTGACATCTTTTGATGTCAAGGACTATCCATAGCTCTGTCCCTTTTCCCTTATTGTAAATTTAGATCCTTTGTACTTTTTGTGAGTAATTAGAATGAGGAAATTTTGTGTAGAGCCAGCTGTCTGCCACATCCTGCACTAGGAGCAGTATACACCCACTCACGGGGAGCGGACTCGCTTTTTAAACTTACAGGTCATGTAAAACCATGGGAAATTTAAAACTCTAGATCCCGTTAAGGGAAAGAGGGGCAGAAATATAAGGCCTTTCTCTCTGATCCTGTAACACCCAGGAATGCAAGGGGTTTTTGGAGGGATAGGGTGATAGAAACCAGCCGATATTACTGTCTTGTCCACATTTTAGAGATGGGAAGAGGTGATCCTTTGGTTACAAATGTTACGGTGGTGCCTTTTCTAAAGAGGAGTGTGGACAAACCCCCAAAGGGGATGTAAGGATAAAGGACAGGTCCTAATGAATCATTTTATTTTGCTTTTTTTATTTAAGCTTATAACAATCAACCAACAATGGAAGTCCGTTGAGGAGTTGCAGAAGGTCCGAAGGGCAACCAAGTGACCAGTCCTCACCACTTTCTTCTGAGGAGTGCTCTATGGATCTAGTACTTCCTGCACAAACTGCCAGTTGATGAGGGACACCAGTATGTGGAAATGCTTCTGCTACATTTTTAGGGCTTGCCTACACTTTAGAGGTTGCCTACATTTTTGGATTCTGGATAAAGAATTATAAAGGTAGTGCAGCAATAACCACATAATCTAAAAATAGGTTTATTGTACATTTGAATTTTGTCGATTGAAATTTTTATGTTTATGGTGCCTGAATGTTTTCCTTAAAGTGTATAAAGATTTGTAAGTTAAATTATCTACAATAAAATGCCATTTGTGCAAGATTTCCTAAAGATTAAATACATATTTAAATGGGGGAAGAAGTCTTACTAGAGAAAAACACCTTTTAAAACATAGCACTTCATCAGCCTGTGAACCCAAGAGTTGCCAGTTCAGTTCCCAGGCAGGGCACATGTCTGGGTTGTGGGCCAGGTTCCCAGTGGGGAGTGCACAAGAGACAACCACACATTGATGTTTCTCTCCCTTTCTTCCCCTCTCTCTAAAAATAAAGAAATAAAATCTTTAAAAATATTTTAAAAAATAAAGCATAGCCCTTCATATTTTAATTAATATTCAGTACAAATTTCTGTATAAACTTTTCTTCCAAGTTTATTCATACACCAGAAATTTATCAAGCACCTACGATTAGCTTGGCACTGTTCAGGCGCAGGCGAGATAAAGTAATGAACAAAGCCAAATTCTGGAGAGAGATGAATAAAAAAGATGGTGAGTGAAGGACGATGAAGAAGAGATGGGGCATGAGACCTGCTGGAGGATTGCACCAGGATTCTGGTGGCGAATAGGAGTGTGAGGTGTGTTGAGATTGGCCCTGCAGAGGCTCCTGTGAGGACTGTGCAGAGGAGGATGAGCAGCACCCTACAGAGCCTGGGTCCCTCTCTCCTCTGGCCAGCGGTGACCTGGAGACCAAAGGTGCCATCAAAGCCAGCATGCCCCTGGGTTCCCCTTGGACTGTTCCATAAAGTTGCTTTCTATTAACTTTTTTTGACAATTGAGATATAATTCCCATACCATAATATTCATCCACTTCAGGTGCACAATTTAGTGGTTTAGTATATTCATAAAATTTTACCACCATTTCTATCATCTAATTCCAGAACGTTTTTATCACCCTGCAAAGAACCCTGTACCTGTTAGCAGTCATTGCCGATTCCTGACCCCAGCTTCAGGCAAACATGAATACAAAGTATCTCTATGGATTTGCCTATTCTGCACATTTTATGTAAATGAAATTACACGTTATGTGGCCTTTCCATCTAGCTGCTTTAACTTCGCATAATGTTTTCAAGACTCATCCATGTAGTGTCATGTATCAGTATTTGATTTCTTTTTATGACTAATATCCCATTGTATAGATAGACCATATTTTGTTTATCCATCGGCTGATGGACATTTGCATTGTTTCTACTTTTTGGCTTTGTGAACAGCCATGTACAAGTTTTTGTGTAGCCATATATTTTTATATCTCTTGGGTATATACCTAGGTTTATTAACTCTTTTAGATAAAGGTGATAAATGCTTTTTTCTTAATTTCCCTCTGAATTTAATAGAAATTTAAGAGAAGGACTAAACTCCTATCACCTTTACAATAAAAATTAACCAGCTCTTGCTAGAGGCTTGGCAGTTCTGAAAGGATTAACACAAGTCCTCAAGTATTCTCATTTGTCGCTTCCTTATCACCTCACATTTTCCCAGATAAAAATCTCCAGTGGTTGATTTCAAGGATTTACTCATACCAGTCAGGAAGCACACTTCTTCTTTGCTTAATCTTCTCAAGTGCAATACAATACCACTTAGGCTAATCAGAATGAACAGTTGTCTTGGCTGCCCAGCTAGGAGAGCAGATTTGTGAGGGATGATGGTGCCCTTCAACTTGGAAGCGCAAACCTGCCTGCAATGCAGTGGCTTTAGTGGTGAACATGCAGTGGAAGGTGCTGTGCAGGTGGCTTGGAGGGAGGGAGGCCAAGACACTTTAAATTCAGAAGATCAATTTTATTTTGGGTTGTGTTCTTAGCATTTTCCCCAAATGTTTTATTTGAAATGTTTTCAAATATGCAGAGTTGAAAAATTAGTACAAAAAATACTCACATTCTTTATCAATTAACATTTTTTCTTATTTGCTGTGTCTCTGTATATTATGCTTTCTTAAAATGAATTCTTTGAAAATAAGTGACAGACATCATAAAGCTTTTTATGCCCAAGTTAAAGGACATTCTAGCTGACTGTAATGCCATTATCATCCCTAAGAAGCTGAACATTCTTTCAATAATATTACCACATATATATTCCACTCACATTTTCTCTAACTGTAATGTCCTTTGTGACGACTGTTAAATTCACAACCCAAGGTTCCCCTGTTGCGTTTGCTGTTAGGTGGTTGTCATGAATACTTGACACAGACGTGGTCGTGAAAATGACTCCAGAGAAGCTTGTGTTGAACCATTTCCTCTTCAGAGTTTCACCTGGATAAGACTCTTCTGCATGTGGACTGGGAACTTTAAAAATTTGAAATATGATGACATTTTCATGAAATTTAAATATTTCAGAAGCTGTACAATTATTGAGCATTCACTATGTGGTGGGCATTGTGCTGGCCTCAAGGATCTGGCGTAGGAAAGGATGCATTTGAGAGCAACTGATGAGGAGATCTCAGGGGTAATTGGATGTGGCTGGTGAAATCCAAATGGCTCCGAGGCCTCTCACCTGAATTAGCTGGGCAGGTGGTGGTGCCAAGACAAAGAATGTGGGAGGGAGAAAAATAGGAACTGTTCAAGAGAGGGGTGGATAAGGAAGAAAATGAGTTAGACTTTGGAATAGTTGCGTTGGAGAGCTATCTGGGTAGATTACTTCTGGAGAACTATAAAGAGAGGTGAGCTGCAGTTTAATGGGTGGTGAAACCAAAGCCTCAAAAGAGACCGCCCACATAGATGCCTCTAGCTAAAGGTAAGAGCCCTACACGCATGCCCACATAGATGATCTCACTCCAGAAAAGGCATAATAACTTTTATGTTTTGTATACCACATAAAAATATATCCTTAGAAACAGATGTCAGTTTCTTAGAAATCACTGTATTAACACAAGCATATTACATATAGTTTCCCATTCAAAAGTGAAGGCATGTGGTTTGAATAAGGAAAAAGGGTAAAGATTGCACCTGAGATTGTGATGAGTGGGATTAGTGTTTCTGGTGATTGTCCCTTAGTGTGTCTTTCTTCCATGCTTAGAAAGCTGCCTCAGGTAATTATAGAGTTTCCAGAAACTAAGGCTTTGGTTTTGTTTTTTGTCTTGGTGGTGGTTTACTGTATTACTTGCCTGTGTGCATACTGCTTTAAAGTGAAAATTAGCATAAAATTAAGGAACACCCAAATTTTATAACTATTGCTCCTTTACCTTGTATGCCTAATATGATACATATATAATAAAATGCTACTTATTTGCAGAGTGGGCATACTGTTTAAGGAAATTAAACTCCACTTTTTGTGTTCACATCAAGTAACACACGTGGGTTTTCCCCTAGTTGTGTGTCATCATGAAGTTCAGACTGCTCCTTGGTGTTTGCAAAGGCAAGTTAACCTGACGGGTTACTTTATACTGACTTTCTTATCTGAATTCTCCCTCTCAACACAAGTGAGCAATGGATTCATAGAATGAGGCAAATGTGGCCTATTGTTTGCTTGTCATTTTGGAGGCAAGTTCACTGGGTCAACCACTGAACATTTCTCAGATTTGAATTGTTTCAGACATTACTGAAGTGGCAGCATTTACTTTTAAGTTACTTTTTAAATCAAGGTATCATTTATATGTATTAAAATGAGCAGGTCTTAATTTTCCAGTTAGAAGAGTTTTGATCATTACTATCTGCACCCATTAAACCATTATGCAGAAGCAGCTACTGAGCATTTCAATCACCCCTGAAGTTTCTCTTGTGGCAATATTTAAATTTTTTTTAAAGATTTTATTTATTTATTTTTAGAGAGGGAAGGAGGGAGAAAGAGAGAGAGAGAGAGAAACATCAATGTGCAGTTGCTGGGGGTCATGGTCTGCAACCCAGACATGTACCCTGACTGGGAATCGAACCTGCGACACTTTGGTTCACAGCCCGTGCTCAGTCCACTGAGCTACTCCAGCCAGGGCTGCAACATTTAATTTTTAAATGAAAAACCACTGAATTGTATAGTTAAAGGGGGTCAGTTTTGAAGTATGTGAGTTGTACTTTGAAAAGAAAAAGGAACCTGCTCCCCATTTACTTGCTATCTCACCTCCACAAATAACAGGCCGGCATAACTTCCCCCTACCATCTGAAGTAACCCCCGTTCCTGTGTGTTACAGTTGATTTAAATTTTTCCAAAATCAGGAAATTGCAAGTTGCTGAAGATGGTAAGAAACACACCGATAAGACCAGTTGGGCTAGGGCTGGCTGTTCCGTCTGTTCACGTGGTGCCAACAAGAAGATTTGCTGTGAAGAGAACAAGGAGTGGCCTCTGAGCCCCGGGTTCACCCCGTGTCTGAGTTATGAGTGTACTGCCACCCACAAAGGAAGGCAGAGCACAGAGTACCATAGCAATGAGTCTATTCCTGCAATAAATCCTGTCTAGAGCAAGGGGAAACGCCTGTCCTGGCCTGGCTGCCCTGGCTGTGTATTTGGGCACGCTGACCCTGGCTGTCTGACCTGAGGAGCAGTGGATGTATCAGGTGTGTGGGTAGATCATCTCATCTGTGAACATCATTTCTCTGCAGAGATGACCCTAGCTCCACCTACTCCGGGACAGATGGTGGTGGTTCTGCCAGTAACAAACAAATTTTGCATTTAGCTTCACAGTTGACACATGGGCCAGGTGCAAGTAGACAGGTCAGCACCCGACTCCAGGCTGTCAGTCATGAGCTGGGGGACCTGGGCAAGTTTGCTAACTTCTCAGAATCTTATTTTGCAAAGAAGGTTCATCTCAGGGTCAAACCTCTGATGTAGGTTAATATTTAGAAATATTTTCAGAGATACTTCATTTCTGCACTACTTCCTCATTGCTCTTCCTCTTGCCAGCTTTAAGCCTTGGCTCAGGGTGAGGGCTGAGATACATGAACAGTCCTACTCCAGGTGCAGTTTGGGGTGGCAACATCAGCACCAACTGGGAGTGATGCGAATTCTGGGACCACACCAAGACCTACTGAGTCAGGATTTTGGGGGTAGCTGGGGGTCCTGGATTCTGTGTGTGTGTGTGTGTGTGTGTGTGTGTAATTCTTTTTTAAAAAATGTATTGTTGTTCAAGT